TCATCATAAGTAAGAAGATAGAATTAACTACGAGGACACCTATCAGTATACCAGGGATGGTACTGGAACACACAACATATTTTCCATCACTGCAACAGAAATAACTTGATAAAAATATTAATAATGAAATTCCGATTCCTCCACTATTATAGCCTATTAACATCATCGTTACACGACTAAAACCTTCCGTCGCATAAGAGAATATCGGCATAAAAATGAATAATAGGAATATTATTAAGGTAAACCAGATAGAATAAGTTACATGACTTATCCTTATTGCATATGCGGGTCTCAGAATTTCTAGAATTGTTTCTAAGATTATAAGGATTAAAAGAATTGCAGTGAACGTAATATAAGGTATGTAATCGGTTATTTCAAAGTTAAACATATCAGAAAGTTGTAAACTTGCTGATACTGTAGGAAGTAAGCAAGTTAAGAAGAAAAGATATTTAAAGAAAGGTTTCCTTGACATTATTTCTATCATTTTGTGTAAATTTGGAACATAAATTTATTTATTTCCCGGTTCTTATTTATGTCATAAGTGAAAACGGAATTTAGGTAGATTCAATGTACACCCTAACCCTAATTTAGTTAGGAAATTCCAATTCACTAAAATTCCATTCCCACTTGCTTATTTCCCGGATCTTGAGTCGATATATTTCCTTTTTTTTATGCATACCGAAGATGTACTTCGGAATATCATATAATACTTAGAGTATATGATATATCTACTTAAGCATGGTTTTGCTGTGAAAGAACCCATGTGATAGTCCAGGTTATCACTATGAATTCAAGATTTTAATTTAATAAATGAACCAAAAAGTTATAGCTTTATTTTAGCTATTTTCACCTTCGAATGGAAGAGCTTTCGAGTTTAACTTCGATGATGGACGTAAAAGAGATACGGAAACCTGATGATAAATTAGGGAGCTCGGATTTTTACATGATTCATAGGTATTTGTTATATAAAAGAATGTATTCTTTATTTAGAGATGATTTCAGACAGTGTTAATGGATGATGAACTAAGGGCGAGAGCAACCCTTTAAATATACATTCTAATTTCTTACTCTAAAATTATAGCGTTTCGCTACTAATTCTGATTTACACATGCTTTCCCACGAGTAGCAAGTTTATGCAACCGCGTATACGCGACTAGTACTAGGGAAATTCACATGGGTTAAGCCGCTAAGAATGCCTAATACTATAAAGGTAAGATTAATGGCTATGGCGATACAAAGATGGAAGGTGTATGACATCTTAATGACATCTTAATGACATCTTAATGACAAGACAAATATGGAAGTGAGGTTCATAGAGCAAATTATCCGTGCACTCATCATGATCAAATTGATGTTTTCTTCATTCGTAAATACAATATGACTTGAATTACGGAATTTCATTGATAAAGAATCAAACAGTATATGGTCATAGTAAAGTACCTTTCAAGAATAACTTGCTTCTTTATTAGATAAATTCAAGTAAGAACACATCAAGGTTTATGGATGCTTCTTAAAATTAACAAATTTATATCGTTTGTTGCACAATTATTTGATCCGAATTTGATATAATTGTCTGAAGGAATTTATCGGTAAATCAGCAAAAATTTATTTCTTTTATTTATTAGATATAAAGCGAAAGTAAATAAAACACAAAATAAAATTTGCCTTTATAAATATAAATCATTATTAACGTTTACTGAGTAATTTTCCGGACTATCACATATTATTTCGGAACACAACCTTGTATATTTTCGGTATGCTATCTTAAATGACTTTTTTGGTAAAAAAGGTCATTGGATAAAGGAAAAAGAACCTCGTAATTAATAAATAAAACTTTATCGCCGTTTCTAATTAACATATATACATATATATATGAGTGACGAAAAGGGAAAACCTGTAAATCATCTCACTCAATGAGTGAAATGATTTACAGGTTTTCCCTTTTCGTCACTCATATATAGTATGAACTGCGAAATAACTCAATTGGATTATAAATAACGATAGGCTATTACTACTACCCTTATAATCTGAACCTCAGGGATAAAAGTAACAACCGATTCAATTTACTGTATTACAAGGACAGTATTTGATTGGTAACAAGTGCTTTATTGTTGGAGTATGTATTTTGTAAGTAGTTCATGTATGAAAAGTTGATGTTTTATTCTTAGAAAGTTTTCATATCGCTGATAAGATTCACGAATCACATGAAGGTATAGTTAGTGTTAAAGGAAATTTTATCAGTGTTAGTAAAGAATTTGTATTTTGCACATAGTGATATTAATGTTTCTATTGATTCCATGATTGTTCGTTGTAAGAATTTTACTGGACTACGTTAGGCTGATATGAGCCATCCATCTACGAATAGATACCTCGCCTAAAAACATAATTTATTACTGACAATTTAATTGCAATTGTTTAGCCTCAATTGATAATTTTTGTCGTAGTTAATAAAATGTGATTACTTGTAATAATAAAGTATATTTGCTGTTCTTGACATCAAAATTGTAGTTTTAAAAAAAAAGCAAAAAATTGCAATTGCAATTATTTGGATTTTGATTGATTGTAATTATATAAAATTTAATTTCAATTTTTCAGTCCTATTAAAAGTAAATCTTTCAAGAGAAATTTCTGAGATTGCCAAAAGGTTATCGTAAAATTCATTAAAAAGTTATTTCGTTTTTATTAAAATCCCATTGCCTATTAATGATAAAGGTTTTTGTGTTAAATTGTTGGAAATAATGCAAAGATGCACTAAATAAGAGGTTTCAGAATTACGAATTCTTGCAATTGGTCGCTTCTATAGAGAATATACAATTTTAAAAGTCATCGAATATATTATTAAGAGAACATCAAAAACTATATTGAAAGTTTCCATTTTTGATTCATAGATATTGAATAGGAGATTAAAACGATAGTTATTTCCAATATTATCTTGTACTTTTACATAGCAAAGGTGTCGATACTAAGTAATTGAGACCTACATATTACACTGGTAAGAAATGAAATCTAAGCAAGGCAAAAATTTTTTTTTTAAAATGCGAATTGGCATACTTTTATTAGTTTATATTAAGGGTAGGGTGTATGTAGATCATTTTTCATATGATCTAGATGTTATCATAGATTTTTTATATAGTAAATTAAAATGTGTTACTAATACGTAAAACTTTTATTTTTTTAATTAATTTTTATCAAAATTCAATAATATATAGATTTAAATAAGTTATTTATTATGTTAAAATTTTAATTTAAAAAAATTATATTTGTATATATCTTGAATTTTCCCTGAATGCTTTATGTTTTATCTGGTTACACAAAAAATAAACTTTAATTGGTTAATTTCCGAAAAACTATAAAAAATTTTAATAATAAATTTTATATCTAAACTTTAAAAATTCATATAACGATGAGTTTTAAACCAATTTTAATAATTTTATTACTGTTAGAATCACAAGAACCTACTCTACAATTTTACTTAGAAGCTCAAAAAATATTCTAGTAAAAATTTTCGTAATTGAAGTTACACAAAAAATACCGGTATCTCCTATCCATTATCTTTATGCTTTTGTCGAATTTATTACAAAGAAGCTGTTGAAATTTAATTCAATGAAGGGTTTAGAATTGCAAACTCCATATGGTAATATTATTTTACCGAATGCTTGGGAGATTGAAAATAAATTACCATTTATTAACATAGATCTAAAGTGAGTTATAGAGTATTAACATTCCGAATTGATGAGCGTTAATCTTTGAAAGTTCAACTAATATATCAAAGATCCTGATGATAGTTAAGTTATTATAATTTGAGCAAATAATCCAATTCCTTTAGAGTGCGGGATATTTTACTTTGAAATTAAAGCTACTAATAATGAAAACTGGGTATGTTAATAATATTTACTTGGTTCTTACAATATTTTTATAAACCTTTAATTTTGTTAATGGAATGATTGGATATTGTACAAAGCAAAATGATAAAGAATAGGCGATTCAAATGTAAAATCAATGTATATATATGACATGCTCATGCCAGGTAATATTATTATAAATTAATATCAAATTTCATGCATAATATTCTTCAGGACAAGATATGGAAAATGAGGAAATGGATTGTGGAGATGTGGTTACCATGGTGACAATGGATATACATTTTGTTCTGGAATGGCACCAACATATACTACTGGTGATATTATTGACGCTATTTAAACTTCATGAAGATAGTATTTTATGCCAAACATGGAGTCAACTTAGGTAATTTAATATTTTATAAATTAAGCTTTGAACAAAAAAAATAATATATATATTACTAGGGATGTTTTCAGCTACAATCGGCTACGATCATTCATAGTCGATTCTCTAAGTGTTGACCCGATTTTTTATTTGAGTTATTAATTAAAGTTATTAAGAAACATATTCTGCTCATTCCAACTATAGTTGTTAGGCGAAACCCAAAAAAGGAAATTATAACAATGATGTTCATTGTTATAATTTCCTTTTTTGGGTTTCGCCTAACAACTATAATTCCAACGTTTAAAAAATCGACTATGAATGATCGTAGCTGAACCCATCCCTAGTTATATATATTAAGAAATTGAGTGCCATCTTGCTGATAAGTTCAAAGAGAATATGTTAGTATTTTGGTAAACTTGTTGAATTTGTTTAAAGGTTAACTTGTACAATAAAATTGCCCTATAATAAAATATAAAAATATGATAGACATATAAATAATGTAATGTACAGTATGACCAGTAAAAAATATATATGCTTATATATATATTGCATAATGACATATACAGTATTATACATAGCAATAATAACTAATAACATGCCTACTCTATAAATTATTTAATATACTTATTTAAAAATAATTGTAGCTTGTTTCAATATAAAACTAACTTTAAAAGATATTAGTCAAAATTTGGGCGTTCAACAGATTTGCTTACTAAACCAAGTTCAAGAGTTAATAGATTTAAAAAATATAAAAATAATACTTCAAAACCAATATTTTAATTGGTAATATTCTCAACTGCAAATATTGAACTGGCATTTATTGGTTCAGGAAGATTTTTATAGCTCAAAAGCCGACTTGTATAAATAGCTTGTTTATGTGTCTGGTAGTTGAGTCGTGTTGATATGACTTGATTTGGATTTTTGACTGATTTTTTAATATTTTTAAATTGATAAAAAAGTTGTCTTAGTGAATTAGCTAATTCACTGGCAGTTGGTCTGTTTTGAGGTTCAGCGTCTAAACATTTATTCATCAAATCTAGAAGTAGTTGAGGAACATCACATTTAATTTCGGGTCTATGACCTAAGCAAATTCTTCTTACTAAACGTTCATCATGCGGAATATCATGGTATGGAGGATATCCAGTAAAAACTTCTGACATGATAATTCCAAAAGAATAAATATCTGATTTTTGAGTGTACTCTTTTCCGCCCGTATATAATACTTCTGGAGCAATGTAAGGAATTACACCAAAAATCCCTTCAGTGCTTGAATCTTGAGACACTGGCTTACACAGTCCGAAATCAGTGATATAGGAACTAAACATATTTTCGTTAACTATATTTCCGGAATGAAAATCTTTATGCATTAAATCAGCTTTGTGGATTGCATTAAGTCCATCAGCAATGTAATATAAGATAGAAACTGTAGAGTTCCAATTTAAATCATTATATTTGCTATTTAATAATTTTCGGAGACTTCCCTGTTTTGCGAATTTCATCACTATCGTATAATTACCATCATTTGGATTCCTAGTTGTTCCATAAATTTTAATTGTTGAATTACCTCCATGTTTATGTTGGTTATTAACCTAAATATTGATTAGGGTAAATAGAACTTGGATAATAATAACAAAATAATGATAATAAACTATATAATATATACTTCATTTAAAAATTCTTGTTTTATATCTTTAGAATTATCAAGGCCTTTTAAGCAAACATTTGTTTGTACACTTCGTTTCAATACAATTTTTTGGTAATTAAATCCCTTAATAAATCCATCAGTCCATACTGCCTTAAAAACAGTCCCGAATCCTCCTTTAGCAAGATACTTTATATTTGTAAATTTATTAAAAGGTATCCATTCGATAATGTCTTTAAATTTCTCCGCACTAAGTTGAGTTTGTTTAATGAATTCATCAATGTCGGGATTGCCGCTTGTCCAATTACGAAATTCCTTTCGAAGTCTTAAAATTGAATAAGTAAAATAATGCATGAAATGCTACGATTTAAAATAGCAAATACATACAATCTATCATGGGTTAATTGAAAATAAATTACTATTAGAAATATTCTTAGTGTATTGATTGTATAGTGATTTGCTGTAATGCAAAAAATTCTTACTCGCTGTAGAGGTGACAAAAGTATGTGGATTAGTTAGAATTAACGTTCGTTAGAGTATTTATTTGTATCATGATTTACTGTAAAAAAACAGTAACGAACTTACCGACTACATAGGTGACAAAAGTATGTGGATTAGTTAGAATTAACGTTCGTTGGAGTATTTATTTATATCATGATTTACTGTAACAAAAAAAAACAGTAAAGAACTTACGGGCTGTAGAGGTGACAAAAGTATGTGGATTAGTTAGAATTAACGTTCGTTAGAGTATTTATTTGTATCATAATTTACTGTAAAAAAACATACGAGCTGTAGAGGTGACAAAAGATGTGAATAAGTTAGAAATAACGTTCGTTAGTATCATGATTTACTGTAAAAAAACAGTAAAGAACTTACCGACTACATAGGTTACAAAAGTATGTGGATTAGTTAGAATTAACGTTCGTTAGAGTATTTATTTGTATCATTATTTACTGTAACAAAAAAAAACCTTACTAGCTGTAGAGGTGACAAAAGTATGTGGATTAATTAGAATTAACGTCCGTTAAAGTATTTATTTGTATCATTATTTACTGTAACATAAAAAAAAAAAAACAGTAAAGAACTTACAGGCTGTAGAGATGACAAAATTATGTGTATTAGTTAGAATTAACTTTCGTTAGAGAATTTATTTGTATATGATTTACTGTAAAAAAACATACGCGCTGTAGAGGTGACAAAAGATGTGAATTAGTTAGAATTAACGTTCGTTAGAGTATTTATTTGTATCATTATTTACTGCAAAAAAAAGAAAATCTTACATGCTGTAGAGGTGACAAAAGTATGTGGATTAGTTAGAATTAACGTTCGTTAGAGTATTTATTTGTATATGATTTACTGTAAAAAAATAGTAAAGAACTTACAGACTACATAAGTGGCAAAAGTATGTAGATTAGTTAGAATTAACGTTCGTTAGAGTGTTTATTTTTACTGGAAAAAAAAACTTACGAGCTGTAGAGGGGACAAAAGTATGTGGATTAGTTAGAATTAACGTTCGTCAGAGTATTTATTTGTATCATGATTTGCTGTAAAAAAAAAAGAAAACCATACACGCTGTAGAGGTGACAAAAGTATGTGGATTAGTTAGAATTAACGTCCGTTATAGGATTTAGTTGTATCATGATTTACTGTAAAAAAAAAAAAACTTACGAGCTGTAGAGGTGACAAAAGTATGTGTATTAGAATTAACGTTCGTTAGAGTATTTATTTGTATCATGATTTACTGTAACAAAAAGAACAGTAAAGAACTTACTCGCTATAGAGGTGACAAAAGTATGTGGATTAGTTATAATTAACGTTCGTTAGAGTATTTATTGTATTTATTTGTATCATTATTTACTGTAACAAAAAAAAACTTACTAGCTGTAGAGGTGACAAAAGTATGTGGATTAGTTAGAATTAACTTTGTTAGAGTATTTATTTGTATTATGATTTACTGTAAAAAAACAGTAAAGAACTTACTCGCTGTAAAGGTGACAAAAGTATGTAGATTAGTTAGAATTAACGTTCATTAATATCATGATTTACTGTAAAAAACCAGTAAAGAACTTACCGACTACATAGGTGACAAAAGTATGTTAGAGTATTTATTTGTATCATGATTTACTGTAACAAAAAAAAACAGTAAAGAACTTACGAGCTGTAGAGGTGACAAAAATATGTGGATTATTTAGAATTAACGTCGTTAGAGTATTTATTTGTATCATGATTTACTGTAACAAAAAAAAAATTAAAGGTAAAGAACTTACATGCTGTAGAGGTGACAAAAGTATGCGTATTAATGTTCGTTAGAGTATTTATTTGTATCGTGATTTACCGTAAAAAAAAGAAAATCTTACATGCTGTAGAGGTGACAAAATTATGTGTATTAGTTAGAATTAACGTTCGTCAGAGTATTTATTTGCATCATGATTTACTGTAACAAAAAAAACAGTAAAGAACTTACGGGCTGTAGAGGTGACAAATGTGGATTAGTTAGAATTAACGTTCATTAGAGCATTTATTTGTATATGATTTACTGTAAAAAAAAACATACGCGCTGTAGATGTGACAAAAGATGTGAATTAGTTAGAATTAACGTTCGTTAGAGTATTTATTTATATCATTATTTACTGTAAAAAAAAAAGAAAACCTTACACGCTGTAGAGGTGACAAAAGTATGTGTATTAGTTAGAATTAACGTTCGTTAGAGTATTTATTTGTATCATGATTTACTGTAAAAAAAAAAATAAAACCTTACACGCTGTAGAGGTGACAAGAGTATGGGATTAGTAATAAATTTTAAGGGTAGGGGGTAATAGTTTAAAATTATATATAAACCTAATGGTAATTTTTTTTTATATTTAATTTTATAAAAAATTATATTAAGTAAACT